GGGAAAATAGATAGACCCACAGTAAAAGGAGACTGTGTCAGGAAATAAAGCACATCATCTGATCCTCATCACAAACAACTATGGGAAGCGAGGGACATACATCGGTTCTAATTTCAGCACATAATGGATATATGATATCATCCTCCGGCGTTGAAACTCATTCCTTATATCAGCATAGGATTGGCACCTATTCGGCCAAGGGCACGCTCATCTAGACTGGTGTCAGGTGCTTTTAGGCTTAAAAGACGGATGAGGGTGTCTCGATGTTCTTCGGGTTGGACATCGACCATGTCAGCAAGTCTTTCATCAAGATCTGCAATTTGCTTTTGCTGTGACGAGCACTCAAGCAACGGCCTTGCTGCTTCCCAAAGCTGCACTGCCTTCGGCAGGTCCCCCTGAATTTTGGCAATGTCTCCAAGATGGACCATGCATTCCGCTCTGCTGCGGTGCACATCCATCTGTGTAAATCCCTCGAGTGCAACGGTGAAAAGACTGCCAGCTGTACTGTCATCACCACCTGCCTGGTAGAAATCTCCGAGGCATTGCAGTGCTTTGTGGATCTCTCGCTTCTGTTTCAACTTGAGGCTATGGACCAAGAATACCACTGTCCAAGTATATGAACGATCGGCGGGGTCCCATCGGTGGCTATCACCAAGCATCTCTAGAGCATATGATACAATTGGTGTAGCTTTACCTCGAGCTGATTCGATGCACTGAAGGAAGCCAGTCTTTGCTGCCACAAAGGCTCCTTCTCTCATGTCAAGAGCTGCCCTTAAGACATCACAGCACAAAGTCTCGAGTGGCTGACCTAGCTTTTTGAACAGTAAGGAGGCTGTATCAAGATTCCTTGCCACAGCATGCCTGGATGTGCCGAGTTCTATATCAACCTGTGCAGTAGTGCAGAGAGCCATGGCATGCCGAAATGTATTGTACTCCCTGGAGAGATTGTTAAGTAACTGAGTTTGGATGTTATGAGCCTCCGCATATTCAGATTTATTTAAGTGGACCTCTGCCTGAACATCAAGGAGCATTCCATCCATCTCACCACCAGTCATGCCACAAATAGCAAGGAGATGACGGGCCCTCTCGGAGGCAGAGATACTTTGAGCATAGTAACCAAGGATATCCCAGCAAAGGGATTCAATCTGGAGTGCCCTGGATTCTCCGAATAAACTTCCAGAAAGCCTTGCTAGCTTGTGTGACTCATATGCATACCCATGGGCAGCCTTACAGTCACCCAATTGTAACTGGATCCATGCCAATGTACACAGAAGAGCTGTCCGTATTCCCATATCCCCAGTGGAAATTGACAAGGAGAGCCCAGTTTGAGCGAAGTGGAGAGCGTTCGAGATGTTGTTTTTTTGACCACCTCGATAATACTCGGCAAGCTCGTAATAGAATTTGCCTAGTGCCTGTCTTTCAGTATTTGATACAAAGATTTGACATGAAACTCACATTTAAGGTCCTGATCATCCAAGTGCGGGATATATCCCAGAGCTTGCTCCAATAGCTGGTGCATATTGGGAATCTGATAGTTTCTACTTTTGCCAAGCAGTGATGCGACGACATAAACCACAAGTCTATGGTTGGTTGACTGAGGTAGAATGTTATAATCTGGTCCAATAGGGCAATCTTCCCCCGTCCAACTGATGACCTGAAGTCCGCAAAATGACATATGCAGTATACAGTGGCCAAGTTAGGATTATTCGGATTCAACTCCTTTGCCAAGATTGCTTGGACATTGGCAAAGTTGGATTTTATTTGCGTGACGATGCCAGGACTCGATGCCCTTCCCATGATGATATTCCACATAGATTTGAAGGAGCTGCTGAAAATGCTTCAGAAGAGGTTGAACAAGGTGAGCCATTGGAGGGTGCATTCTTTGGACATATTCCCGGATGGGTACCAGGGTCTTGAGTCGCTTCTGGCCATCAGTATATGCTAGGGCAGTGGCAAGTAGAGCCCCTTTGCAAGCCAGCACATTATCAATTGGAAATTTAATTTGTGAGAGCTCGACATCTGAAAGTCCGTCGGGGAGCATGGAGAGGAGGCTCAATAGATCTCGGGAGTGAGGAAAAGCTGTGATCCGAGGGCTTTCAAGCGAGAGTGAAATTGATAAATCCAAATTGGATCCTTTATCATGGCCTTGAGAGAGCAGTGATGTTCTCTCTGTCCCCCAACGATCTAGCACACTGGGCAAGCCTTCGTAGTCTACCAAGTTGGCAATGAGATCAATTGCGAGTGGCATGTTATTGGTGAAAAGAAGAATTTTGTCAATAGCTTCAAGAGGATGATCATCTGCAATGTCAATGAAAGTTTGGCGGGCAGCATCCTGTGGTAAGGGCTTCAATGGTTCTAAAAAGGGATGTGTCCAGCGGATATTTGCCGGTCTTTCTGCTCCACGCATTGTGATCTAAATTAGAGTTAGTACAAAACAACAAGAATTTTGTTCTGGCTCACAATCAGGGCCAGATGATTTACATCTGTGAGCAGGGACAAGAAAATTTCAATTTGACCACGGGTCTCTCTTGGCTCCCAGATAGTCTCCAAATTGTCCAAAATCAACAGCAAGGGTGGCATGTCAGCAAAATGACGGATAATCCCCTGAACTTGATCCCTTCCTGGTTTCAGCCCAACATGCATGGCAATGAGGGCCGCAAGCTGAACACTGTTTGATGCCCTGTCACAGGTAACGAAAACCCGGTTGTCCTTGTATCGTGCAGTGATTTTGGGATGATGGAGCACAGCCCTTGCTAGGCTTGTTTTCCCCATTCCCCCTGGTCCCAAAATTGCAATCCGGGGTATTTCTTGGCTGAAGGCTTGGATCAAGTTCGAAAGTTCAGATTCACGGCCATGGAAAATCTTGGGTTCGGATGGCAGCAGTGAAAGTGAGTTTGAGCTTCGGGAAGTTAGCATCCAGCCATGAAGAATTTGACAAAAACCACAAACCTGTTTTGCGAAGTGGATAGAACTCTGCTGATCTAGGAGTTTGGTCATTCCTGAGTTGAAACTAACTTGGAGTGATGGTACTCACCACAGAGCCACTGTCAGAACTTCCTTCATCCGAAAGAGCCGAAATCAATTCCAGGATTTCCTCGTGCGTCTTCTGTGCATATTGTTGCATTTCTGTCACATCCCTCAGGATATGAACCCCCTGAATCTGCAGTGTATCTTGTTAAAATTTATCTCACAACAACACCACTCTACCTTGAACACCCCGATGACTTGCTCTAGTCCCACATAACAGTCCTTGAGTAATGTGCTCATTTCGCCTTGACGGAAGAATTGCTTGATTCGGTTTTTCTCCTGCTGGGCTTCGACAAATGTGTGGATCTTGTGGAGAGTCCTCTCAAGGTGTCAAAACAAGTTACTGATGAACCAAGGTGACCAGAAACTTACTCAGTGAATTTCCCCAAATTCTCCAGCATGTTTGGCGACAATTCAACACCGGTATCTGACTTGATGTGAAAGTCGATAATTGCATAGAGGATCTCGTGGATGTGCTCCAGCATTTTCGTACACTCATCCCTGTTCCTCCTGACTGTCTATTCGAAAGGGTAAGTCTCACTGTGAGGAGAATGCTTATTGTATGATGGCACCTGTATGGAACTCAGCAGGGACCGCATTGTGTTTGAAATGGAATCCAAGAAGGGTGTCTTCAGGCTGTTGGAAACCACTTCCAACGTGCTGGTGGCAGCATCTAGATAGGTTATAAGGTTGTTGAAGCGAGTTTGAGCTGTATTGGGTTGAGGCATAGCGGCAATGATGTCCGCAGATGACAAGGTTGGTAGGTGAGATCTTTATATCCCTGACAGTCTATACTTATCCCATGTATCAGAGACTATGTATACGGGTTTTACAGCTATTTGCGGAACATAAGGCGCGGATGTTTTTTGTCTCAAAATAGATGTTTTCACTAATACCCCTCTACCAAGCTCAGTTTGTTTCACGAGTTTCCATTGTCCAATCCTGATATAAAGCAGCCTAAAGCACCGTATATCATGTTTAAGATGATCCGACTTGAATATAGGAGACCTGAGGTCACTCGTTGCACTGATACAGGGATAGTGTCAAAAACTCTCGGAATTTTTTACCAAACAGTCAACAAATAGTACATGCGCTCATTGAAGGATCCCAAGCACTGTAAAACAACATTCGAATCGATTCATATAATTTTTAGAACAAACGGGTGAGATTTGAATGAGTTGTAGGAGTTTACCCTTTTTTGTCAGTCCCTTTGCATCACAAATGTACCCGAGTTTTAAACTCCTCTCAGCAAATTGGGCTCAGGAAGCGATGCACTCGAGTTACAGGTGCAGCACCACCCCGGGATGAGAGCAAGGGAGACTTATGGCGCAACCCATTCGCTAATTATAGATCATTTGTCATTTCAGTTGATTTCGGATGCTGTATCTAGTGGCAACCAGATGCCACGATGGCATCGGAGTTACAAGTTTCGAGGACGGCGTCGTAGGAGTATGACGTGAGCAGAGGTCCCCAGATGCTAGTGGTATTAATTGCGCGCATGCAGAGGAACTTCGTGGTGAGAAGGGGTTCGATTCCCCGCTGGTGCATGCGGCCCTCTAGCTTCCTTCATTTTTACCCTGCATTCAGGATATCAAAGGCGCTTACTCAGGCTGAGAATGACGGTAGGAAGCACCAGTGGTGTATTTATGGAACACGCGCCAGCCTGATACCGAAATAACCTGCGGAGTTGGCGGCGATGGGGGTTCGATTCCGGCATATTATTGCACCCACACTTTTTGCCATCCGGCATGCCGCATGCGTGGAATTGAACGCACCTGAAGGGGTTAAAAATGAGGGGAGAGCACCGATAGTGTATCAAACACGCGCCGACGTGATACAGAAATATTGTTCAAACTTGGCGGCGAGACGGGGTTCGACTCCCCTCTGGGCATGATGCTCGGATGTTGCATTTTTCTCTTTGGTAGATGCTAGAGGGAAACACAGTTAGCCAAAATAAAATATGAGCGAAGAAAGCACCAGTGGTGTGTGGAACACACACCGACCTGATGCTGCCTTGATCTACATGCCCTTGGCGGTGAGACGGGGTTCAAATCCCCGCTGGTGCATGTGAAGCCTTCCGTTTACCTTGTTTTCTGGGCTAGACTCCCCCCCCCCCCCCAGAAAAACTCTCCATACTACTTACTAACCGGAGATAGTGTCTGTGTCCGAAAAATAAACTCGAACCGGATCGATGTCGTGACCACTGACCCCGGGTGCACAATTTGTGTGAGGCGGAAGCGGGGTTGCAATAACAGTTGACGTTATTGACGGGATCTCACTCCGTAGTCCATGCCGGCATGCTGATGCTGCGACGTTGCATTTGTCCCGGATTTTTGATTAGATTTTTTTTTTCAATTCTCAGTGGCAAGAGAGAGATGAGACCTGAGGTCGGAGTCAAAGTCCTCGATGCAATCCTGCATGCAGGAAATCGAGCGCACCTTGCGAGGTTCAAAATGAGGGTAGAGAGCACCAGTGCCGACGGCATCCCAGACAGAAGGTGTGAGCGGCGAGACGGGGTTCGATTCCCCGCTGGGGCATATTGGTCCACCGTCTTTTTTACCATCCGGCATGCCGCATGCGTGGAATTGAACGCACCTTGCGAGGCTCAAAATGAGGGGAGAGAGCACCGGTGGTGTATGGAACACGCGCAGATCTGATGAAGATGCATTGTTGGCCCACTTGGCGGCGAGACGGGGTTCGATTCCCCGCTGGTGCATCGTCTTTCACCCTAGTCTTTTTGCCATCCTACACGCGACAAAATCTAACCCAGATAAACTGGCTGATAGTGAAGGTAGAGAGCACCAGTGGTGTATGGAATACACACCGATCTGATGGGCAGTATTTATTCGCTACTTGGTGGTGAGACGGGGTTCGAATCCCCGCTGGTGCATTGGTCGAAAAGAACGTTTTTTTTGGGTTCGGAGGAGGGAAGATTTAACGGAGATAACAAGGCTGAGGAGGAGGGTACAGAGCACCAGTAGGGTATGGAACACGCATCGAGCTGATGAAGGGATGGGTAGCTTTGGACGGTGAGACGGGGTTCGATTCCCCGTTGGTGCATGCATGAAATGCTTAGCTGTTTTTTGGGTGGGCGATGAAGACGATACACGGAAGCTAGCAATATTCAAAAGGGGGTTGGAAAGCATTAGTGGTGTATGGCACACGCGCCCTCATTGTACTTACGACCTAGTAAATGTCAATGGCGGGATGGGGTTCGATTCCCCGCTGCTGCATGCTTTAGAGCTTTGTCGTTTTTTTTTGGCCCCTCGCAGGCGGGAAATTAGCACAGTTAAACAGGCTGAGAAAGAGGGTAGAGAGCACCAGTGGTGTATGGAACACGCACTGATTCACCTTGGACAGTGAGACGGGGTTCGATTCCCCGCTGGCGCATGCTTTTTTGAACCTTTTTCTTTTTTGCTATTATCCCTTTGTTCCTGATATCATGCACCGAGCACTCAGAAATCTAGAGACTAGAAGTAAGTACTGGGAGTCGAACTTATCTGCCGCCCGCTATTTCCCACTCCGGGTGGTGCTTAACATCACTCCTGGCGCGTTGTGCACCACGGTTGACGCCGCCGCTCGGATTGGGATTCCTCGCTAGGCGACGCGTGGCTCCTTCAGTCGTCTGCACGCGAGGACTTTAAGGGGCGTGCCATTCTAGCTTCACACATTACTCATCGTGACGCGTACGCTCACTTGCGTAAAATCACAGGGAAGTTTTCAGCAGGCTGCGGCGTCCAAGCTGAGTATTTATCTACCCTCCGCGAAATGCGTTCTGATATATCAAAGTCATCTTTGCAATCAGTACTGCGCGAGGGCAAAGTAATGCGTAGGTCGGTTGAGCGATGCCACATATATTCCATCCACCACCTCCTCTTCTACTTCCCTCGATTCCGCACTCGGATTGAAGTCACTTTTCTCCGATCGCGGCTCTCAAAATGTCCGACTCTCAATTCCAGCACAAGCAATATTACCTGGATCATGGTCTATTTCCTAACTAGGATCCGTTGAGTTGAATGATGGTTGGAAGCCGAGGAACATTCAGCATCAACAACTTCAATTGCTATTGACTAATCGCTATCGTGCCGAGCCCACGTCAGCCGACACAAGAGCCAGAAACACCAGATCTCTCCAAAACAGAGGCTATTTCACGGTGGTTACGATCAAAAACGGTCGAGGCTGCAAAGATGCATCTACCTTTTCTCCCCGGGTTAAAACCCCGTACTCTCACCGCGAGTAACATCGACCTCGAACGGATCCTGGAAATCTTGATCCGTCAAGGACCCTTTAACACCCTCTTCAAAGACGCTGATGTTCGTCCGCGCTAGAGCATCACGGAACTTGTTCGCGCTCGCCCTCAGTCTGTCCCCATACCCCTTGCCCTCCCAATCGACGACTAATTTCCCACCCGTTTTCACAAGCTGCCCGCCAACGTAAACGTCCTCGATGTCGGCAACGTTCGAATGCAATACAATGGCGGCGACTGGATCACTCCAGCCCACCAAACCGATCGCATCCGTTGAGAACACCAGGACGTCCGCTGTCGCTCCCTCTCTCAGGACGCCGAGGTCCGGCCTTTTGAGCGCGAGACCCCCGTTGCGTGTCCCGAGAAGGAACGCCTGCCGTACCGTCATGGGCGTGTTTGACGGGATCTTGAACCGATCGAGGGTCTCCTGGTAGAGGCCTAACCGCGTCGATTGGAGCCAGATCCTCATTTGTCCAATGATGTCTATTGAAAAAGTGAAGTGTGTGTCGACTCCAAGAGCGGCTTGATCTTGGATCTAAATGCGTTGTTATTAAATCGGAGACGAGAAGGAGGGAGACGAACTCACGAGATATGAAGCTTTGTGTCCATGCCCATAGTGCATCTCACTCTCTGGCGTGATACTAACATACTGGTTGAACTCTCGCAAAAGACGGGCTTCGGTTGGATTGAGTGAGGATACGTGAGCAAAGATAAATGCGAGGCTTGAGTTCAGCGTAGGGTGGCCGGGGGTGAGATTGTTAACCGCGCTGATCCCACCATTATCGACTTGCGGGCCGTTCAAAACTGTAACACAGTATGAGGAAGCAATGACTCACATGGAAACGGTCCGCCCACTTCATGGGCAGTTATGACATTTACGGAAATGTTCCTAGTGGCGTATTAGCATAGCGCCGCTACTGGTTAGGAAGCAAACAAACTGTGCCGTTTCGACGATCTCGGTGGTCAGGTTGTCGGAGGCGATCCCAAGGGTTACGAGTCCTCCACTGAACGGGCTGTCCGGTGCGAGCTCTCTGATATGAGCAAGTTGGTCAACCGGAGCGCTAGTGTTGACTGCATCCGGTATGAGCAGTGTTGACTCGAGAGCAACTTGGCTGGGCGTACCGGTGTATGGATCTCCACTAGTGACGACAGGTTCGATCCCATAGCACCACCAAACTCTCGCACCGCTATCCTTCACGCCTTGGAGTCCCGCATTTGCATGGGCCCGCGTCCAGGTCATATGCGCAAAGTCGACGCTGGTAGTCACACCAGCGTTGAGAGCTTCCAGCGTGCCCATGAGGGACCCGATATATATATCGTCCGGAGATAGAATAAGTGGCGCTGGTCCAGTTGTCCGGAATCTGCGAATATGAGAGGGTTGGCAACATCCGTATGTGTGTAAAGAGAGAAGAACCGGACAACCAGAAGAGGCTCTCCAACTGGACGTTCGGTCCCAGAGTTCGCATCGCAGTTTGCCTGGGAACATCATGAGGATAGTCAGTTCAACAGATGACTTTTTCAAACCCAACCAGGTGTGCCGATGCGTGTCGATGAACCCCGGAGATATGATCTTGCCGGTCGTGTTAACAGTCTTTACATCACTCTCGGTTGAATGCGAATCCAGCCCGTCGATGGTATTCGAGATTGCGATAATTGTGTCGTTGAAGAGCATCGCGCCATCCGTGATGACTTCGAGATTCGAGGTGCTCTCGGAGTAAGTGATGAATGTACCGCCTCTGAGGAGAGTCGCGCATCGGACTGCACATCCTAGAGACAGCAGGGCAAAGATGTGAGAGCGCATGGTTTTGATGTATGAAAGCTAAGCCAAGTCATGGTATATAAAGAGGATTGCTGACAAAGCACCAACGAGTCTGAATCAGCTGAGAAGTCGGAGCTCGTGCGGTGCGTCAAGGACTTGTGAAGCGTTTAGCACTTAAGGAGCAAGATTCCTGATAGCCCCATCGGTGAACCTTTGACAGTAGGAGGTATCAAGGGTGTGTTCGACGAGTTCACGAGAAGGACGGAGAGGCGTAGGCGGCGCTCGAGCTGTGCAAGTATACATACATTACACTAAGTGGACCAAATAAATGTTGCATGCTAGCGGCAGCGTACAGTAAATTTCTTTGGTTCCATCTAGAACTTAGCCTCCCGTTTGCTATTGGGATGACCTAACCATTAGCCCGGGATGCTAACCACTCAGCGCTCAGCCCGCACTCCGCCGGCAGGTGCTGACTGAGTTCCGCGTTAGGCGAAGGGAACCATGACGACCCCTATTTCTCCGCTCCGCGCTTGCTCAGCTTCGACGCAAAAAATCTTAGAAATCCATGCTCTATTAGTCATGTTCAGCAAAGGTATGTCAGACTCGTAGAAATCTTGACAAATAGCGATGAAAATCTCAGACCCCGCCTGATACATGCGAAAATATGCCCGGAACGATGCGTCTGTTGGTAATGCTACACAAGGTATGTAAGACGCTTGAGAAATAGTGGACGGCGCTACCGCTGTATATATAAAGAGTGATAAAAAGCGCGCTCTTTGCAATTGCATCCACCACGACCACAGTGACAATTTTGGGTGTATCAACTACACTACTCCGCACTCTGGCCTTTATCTTAACCTTCACCGTGCTTGCTTTCAGCCAGCCTAATACCCCAACGACTACCACGTCGTCTACCAGCATCGCGACGCCTGTGACGCCGCGTCCATGCACCCCACACCCGGTCGTTCCCGGCCGGCAGCAGGAGATTTTCAACGCCGTATCGTTCCCTGATCTTTTTGCATCCTGCCAGACAGAAAGCTTATGCAGATAACAAGGCTGAGAAGGAGGCCAGAGAGCACTGGTGGTGTATGGAACACACGCCGACCTGATAATCAAGTAAATAAGAAGTCAGTTTCCGGCGAGAGGGGTTCGATTCCCCCCTGGTGCATGCTCAGTATCACCACCGCACTTTTTCTTTGCTTCGACCTGGGCTAGAAAATTACCCCGCGCAGATGTGTGTGGCCCCGTGGAATGGAGTGGAATGATTGCGATGCGGGATTACCGAATGACGTTATTCGCGGTATCTAACCCCATGGCCGACGCTCGATGCCGGCAATATTAATGCTGCGATGCTGTCTTCTAGTTTACTTGATTCAATTTTCAACGAAGTAGCAGACACAGTGGAAAATGAGTAATTCCAGTCCACCTGATAACGTCGCTTAAACGTAAAGATTCAGCACAATGCGGCTGAAACTAAAGGATTCGGCCATGGGCTAAATCTTTCAGTTTCAGCGCTAGCGACGTTGTCAGCCCGAGACAAAATTACGCATTTTCCGATGTGAGAAGACCACAGAGACGCATTCAGCGCGAACATCCTAGCTAGAATTCCATCGTTTTATCCGAGCGTGTTTAGAACGCACCGAGTGCGCACATGATCGATCACACGACCGGGATTTCGTGATACCGCGCCTTGTGACAGTGACATCGGCCCTCCCTCCCGTCTTCCGACTTTCTTCTCCATATAAATACCCCGCCGCCAATCTTTCTTCCCCCCTCCCGCCCCACTACGATGGATGCCCCGCTGCATTTCGATGCCGCGCACCACCTCGACACGAAGCAGGATAAGGAGGCACGGGAGATGACGAGGAATGCCAAGGTGCGTTGCTGAAAAAGGGGGAAGAGCGAAAAAAAATTGATTTGGGCAGTCGGCGACGGACAGGGAGCACGAGATGAGTCTGCTGCAGGGATTAAGGCTATACCCGAAGGCGGTGGCATGGAGCTTGCTGATCTCGACGTGCATCGCGATGGAGGGCTACGACGTCTGTCTGCTCTCAAACTTCTGTGCGTCCCCTTCCTTCTCTCTTTTACTTGCACTTACTCACTCGCACGGGGCACGGGCCAGACGCCTTCCCGCAGTTCAACCGCAAGTACGGCGAGCAGCTCGCGGACGGGTCCTACCAGGTCCCCGCGCGCTGGCAGTCGGGGCTCTCCAATGGCGCGAACGTCGGCGAGATCCTCGGGCTCTTCCTCAACGGCTGGGTCTCCGAGCGCTTCGGCTACAGACGCACCGTCATGTGCTGCCTCGTTGCAATTATTGGATTCACCGCGATCTTCTTCACGGCGAAAGATGTGGTGAGCCTGCAGATCGCGGAGGTGCTATGCGGGATCCCGTGGGGCGTATTCCAGACGCGTGAGTCCACCCTCTTTGTTTTTAGCGGCCATTTGCGCTGCGGGCATTCTGCTATGATTCCCTCTACTCCCGTGCTCATCCGTACTGTGCTCATTCGCATTCGCAGTGACAATAACCTACGCCTCCGAAGTCTGCCCCGTCGCCCTCCGCGGGTATCTCACCACCTACGTCAACTTCTGCTGGGGCCTCGGGCAGGTAATCGGCATCGGCGTCATCAAGTCGATGCTCCCGCGCACCGACCAGTGGGCGTACCGCATCCCGTACGCGCTGCAGTGGATGTGGCCCGTCCCTCTCTTCATCGGCGTCGCCCTTGCCCCTGAATCACCCTGGTGGTTGGTGCGAAGGGGGAAGATACCCGAGGCGAGAAAAGCGTTGTTGAGGCTGACGAGTTTGGAGAAGGAGACGGGGTTTGACGTGGACGAGACGCTGGCGATGATGCGGCACACGACCATGATTGAGGAGAGGATTACGCGGGGCGCGACGTATTGGGATTGTTTTCGGGGCACGGATTTGAGGCGGACGGAGGTGCGTCGGAGTCTCTCGATTTTTTCTCTTCTTTGCGCGCGGGCTTCTCCTTTTTCTGGCGGAGGGTATTTGCTTCCTTCGCGGCGCGCTGCGCCCTAGACTCTTTTTCCTTCTTCCTTCTCCTTTTTTGTGCTGGAGAAGCAAAGGCTGATCGTGCGTATGGGGAGCTAGATTGTGTGCATGGTGTGGGCGATGCAGAACCTCGCGGGGAATTCGTTCACTGGGTATAGCACGTACGTCTTTCTCTTTTTTTTTTTTTTGGATTCTTTACGTTCCGCGGTTGGATTCCTTGTGCTTCCTGCATTCGCTCCATTTGCACGTCCGTTCGACTGCCCTTCACCTCTCTGCGCTGCCTCGCGCTTCCGCTTCATTTGCTTACGATCCCTCCGCCCGCGCACTTTCACTTCCTGAATTCCCCTTCCGGCTGCGCACCCTTCCATTTCCTCTTCATGAATTCCCGCCTCTATGTCCCCGCGCTCTTCTTGCATTCGCTCTTATCCTCCTCCCTTCGCTCGCTAACCCCTCCCCCCAGCTACTTCCTCGAACAAGCCGGCCTCCCCACCGCCAAGTCCTACGACTTCGCGCTCGGGCAGTACGCGATCAATATGGCGGGCGTCTTCGGCGCGTGGGCGCTCATGGCGCGCGGCGTCGGCCGGCGCTCTTTGTACCTCGGCGGGCTGGTGGGGCTCTGCATCATACTCCTCTGCCTCGGATTCCTCGGATTGGTGCCGGCGCGGCATAAGGACCAGGTGCGTAGACGTTGGATGCTGCGGCGCTGAAGACCGTGCTGACGAAACTGCTATATTTATTTTATTTTGTACAGGCGGCATTAGCGACGGGGAGCCTGATGCTCGTGTGGGCGGCGATCTACCAGTGCACGGTCGGCACGGTCGCGTACAGCCTCGTCGGCGAGATGAGTACAAGGAGGCTGTCGATCAAGACGGTGGTGCTGGGAAGGAATATGTAGTACGTGGCTTTTCTTCTGCGTCGATTCTTCTTCCTCTGTTATTTTCTCTGGGGGTGCGGAGGGGGTGGACCTCGGATAGGCGGAGCTGGGCTTGGGTTTGCGCATGGATATCCAGGATCTGCGGATGTGCGGTTCGAGGCGTGCGCCGCGAACTCCCCGGGGACCCTCGGGTAGACGCTCGGGCGGGTTGTGCGGAGTGTGGAACTGGGACGCGGCGGAGCTCGTATGTACGCTCGGCCTCGCGGTGGAGGGCGTGTGCCCGGCCGTGGGCACTGGGTTAAGTGGGTTGCGTCCGAGGGTTGTGCTCGCAGGCGATTGCGGTACGCGTCGTGTGCGCCCGGCTGACGGGTGCGAACATTGAGCGCGCGATGTCCGAGTGGGCATCCCAACTTGCGGGCGTGCCGCACACCACATCCTCCGCATTATCTCTTCTCCCCGCTCCATTCCGCTTTCTTTTTCCTTTCTCCTTAACGCCTCTTTCCCCCTTCCCTTACCACGGCTAACAAACTCTCGCGCAGCAACGTCGTCGGCATCATCTGCTCCGTGCTCACGCCGTACATGCTCAACCCGGGCAATTGGAACTGGGCCAACTACGCGGGCTTCTTCTGGGGCGGGATCTGCTTCCTGTGCGTCGTGTACACGTATTTCCGCGTGCCGGAGGTGAGTCGCCCTTTTTTTCGTTTCTTTTTTCCGTTTCTATGCGGCGTATTTCCGGTGCGGAGCTGCGTCTGTCGCCGGTACAGCGTTACTCATGCGTCAGGACACCTCGCCGACACTCGCGCGCACGGCTCCCGAGGCATTCGTTGCTGCAAGCGCGCTGCGCACCGCCAAATCCCCCCGCTAACCTTCACGTACGCTAATCCCCTCCTCTTCCCCGCAGCCGCAAGGCCGCTCCTTCGCAGAGCTCGACCTCCTCTTCGAGAAAGGCGTCAGCGCGCGCAAGTTCGCGAGCACGCAGGTGGATGTGTTCGATGATGTGAGTAGCGAGGAGACGAAGGGCGACTTGGGCGAGGGCGGGGATGAGAAGGGCGATGAGAAGAGGGAGAAAGGAGAGTGAGGTTTACGAGCGTGTGGTTATGATCTCAAATGAGGCGAGCCGAAGGGGAAGAGAGGCGGGTGTATAGCTAATGAACGTACGAATATATACGCTTCCTTTTTTAAGCGAAGTGGACGAGGATGGGTGGGTTGGATAAAAGAAATTGTGGACCCGAATGCACAGGCGGGGAGTCGAACCCCAGGCTGTCGTTCCAAATATCTCATGGTATCTTGGAAACCAGGCGACAAGTGTACCATACACTACCGATGCTTTCTGATAGCTGTGGATGCCTGGATGTATGCAGGCATTTACAGTAATAAGAATGGAGTGCACGCAGAATCAAAAAGTGTGCATGAAAACATCATGCACTGGCGGGAGTCGAACCCCGCGCAAGTTCCCGACAGGTCGATGCGTTCGATGATGTGAGCAGCTAGGAGACGAAGGGCGGCGGGGGCGGGGTTGGCGACGAGAAGGAGAGCGAGGAGAATAAAGCGAAGGGCGGGAGCACGGAGTGACCGCCCAGCGTTGAGCTCCCACTGCGTAATGATGAAAATGACGAGGCAGAGGGAGAGGCACGTGTTTTCTTTTTCAAGTAGAAGGGGATGAGAGGTGGGTTGGATAAAAAAAAGCGGAACTGGGCCATACACCGACGGGGAGTCGAACCCAGTTCGTCGTTGAAACGCCCATACGAGATATTCATTTGGAGACGTGCGCCAGCAAGCGTAGGTTCAAAATCAACCAGCGATCGGGCTGCTGTCCGGACTGCGGACCGTGATCCTGATGCCGATATCACTTATATCGGACTATTATCTATCCATACAACAATTGCAGTTCCGAAGGTGGAAGATACGAAGGGATGTGGACAACATATGAGCTCAAGCGCCCGTAGGTCCATTTAACACAGCTTACGATTGAAGGACGATCCCGAAAATAAAACCAAGTGCAACATGCGAACAGATAGACGCATCACGCCTTGTGCAAAGGCCATGGGCATATCCAAGAATCCCGGTAATGCAGTCAGTACGACTTGAGAAAACTCGGACCCGAAACTATAGAGAAAAGTATCACTATAGGAAACACGCGTTCGCTCGGCCTGCACGCGCGTCCGATCGGCCTGCACGCGCGTCCGCTCGGCCTTCATGCGTGTACCTGTGGCATGCAAGTGAATGCGTCCGGATCGCACACGTATTGAAGCGGCTTTCGTAATAGCTGCCATCCAACGCTCCATCT